TGTAACCATCTTTTTCCACGGTCCTGGCCCTTAGCAGTAATATCAGAAATTAAGGAAGAGTTGGTTTTGTTGAGGGGTGTTCATTTGCCAGCATTGAAGATTAAGAATTTTAGTACTTTCTTTTAGGTGACTCATCTAGGATACAAGTGAGCTGATTTGACAAATTAAATCTGCGGTGGGCAGTTTCCCATTCCAACCTGATCCTTTTAACTAAAGAAGAAATACCGGAGCGCCTCTGTGGCTCAGTCAGTTGAGTGTCCAATTCTTGATTTTTGGCTCAGGTCATCAGCTGAGGGTCGTGAGATTGAGCCCCACGTCAGGCTCCGTACTGAGTGGGGGCACATCTTTGGATTCTCGCTCGCTCACTCTCAAAAAAACAATAATAAAAAGAAAATAAATAAAATACCATGTTAATAATAACAAATAATAAATTGAGTTCAGTGCTCCCCGGGTGGATTCTACATCTAAAGGAAGACCAGAATGTTTTCTTTAAAGACAATTTGGAGTTGATTGTAATAGTCATGAACAGGTTCATCAGGCTTTTGTGTGCAAACTTGAATTTTGTTCCAGTCAGCAGGCTTAGTAAAAGCTACTATAATTGCTTGATGAAGCTTTGCGGAGAGTGTTCTAGCATCCTGCCAAAAGTTAGGGGTCTGTTTTCTCTAAATCCCCTTCAGGCTGTTCCCATCGGGCTAGTTTCATCCATTGTTTGGCCAGGCCCTCTCCAACAGGAATGTGGACTAATATAAATCTGAGAAACCAGGTTGGTAAATGTGAATAACTCTGTTAAATTCTTCAGCAAACCTTATGGGGGTCCTCAGTCACTTTGGGAAACTCTAACTATGGCTCACAGTTTGGCCCTATTCCAGGGAACATAAGAAATGTGGGGCTTATTTGGATCCTCCGAGACTTAACTTTAAAGGAGATTTTAATAGGTCTGGGAGAGGAGGGAGAAGTTCCTTCATAGGGAAAGCAAAGTTGAAAGAAAGGATTAGCTTGGGGGAATATAGAGGACCTGCAGAGCAAATAGAGGAAAATGGCGCCAGAGGTTGGATCTGAGCTAGGAGGCTGCCATATATCCTGAGACAAAGAGGAACAGGGAAGAGAAAAGCGGCTTTAGCTGCCCTTTTTTTCTTTGTTTGCCTCAGCTAGTATAAATTTTAGATTCCTGATAATGTTTGGAAGCTGCAAAATACCAATCAATATAGTCATGCCATTCAGTTGATAATTTTAGAGCCAGGCCTGTCCAATCCAGTTTTGAGAAGAGTCAGTTTAGGAAGATGGAACGTTCCCCAAGTTCCAAATGACTTTTGGTTAAGTTGGTCCATTTAGTTAGAAATGCGCATGAAGAGGGACTGCAGTTTTTAAACATAAAACCAGCTGGGGTCCCAGAAGGGGGAGGGTACCCCCTAAAGCATTTTGAGGGCTGGGACTCCATTTCTTAAGAGATGTATTCTCTAAAGTAACAAAAATGTCCTAAACAGCACAGTTTTTCAACAGGAAAGACATGATTCCAAAAGGAGTCCTACCAAAGGCTAAATGAGTACTCTCAGAAAGAACAAAGCCTTAAAACAGATCCCGAATAGTCTGGAGAGCTCAAAACACAGAGTGGAGCTTGAAATCCAGGAGAAAACTTACCTGCAAACTCTAAGGTCATCAGGAGAGCAGCTCACTTGGCTCTGGGTGCCCGCACTGCTTTACTCACAAAGTATTCTAGCTTTTACTAAGCCTGTTGATTGGATCCTCTCTGGATCCCACTCTGATCACTAAATAATGTGAACCTTAAAAATAAAAGCCCATTATTTTACCAGCAAAAAAAAAGGGAGGGGGGTTATTCGAGAATAACAGGATTGCAATTCCGGGCATGTAAGCTACGGCAAAACCATAGGCAAGTCCTATCCTAAACGCAGGAGAGGAAGATTACTTTATGGAGGAGGAAGAGGACCTCAGAAGGGGTACTGAATGAAAGTCCATTGGAGAAGAGCAAGAGTTCAGGGTGATGACAGGTTCTTACTGGCTGAGTTGCCGGGGTCATCCATTTCTTGTAGGAGATACGATGTACATCTTTCCCTGTTGGGGGTCTGTAATTGACAGTTCTTCTGGTTGTATGGCTCCCCCTTCTGTCCTCCCTACTCCACTTTAATGAGGTTTCCTTTCGTTAACTTCCGCCATTGTAAGGGAGTCTCCCATTGGTGTCTGGGGAGGTGGGATCTTGCAGGGACTGGCCGAGCGTGTATTTGGCCCCCCTGAGTGAGAAACAGAATGAGGAGTGACCGCATGTGAGAATTAGCCACCAGGTGGAACTCCCCTCTGTGACTAATCAGGTGAGTGCTAGAATGACCTCTAGTGAAAGAGATCCAGTCAGTTCTTCCTCTCGTATTCTCTGCATACCTGATAGCCAGAGCTCCCCTTTGGGGAAGAATATTTAAAGTCACTATAAGGAAGAAGATGAATTTGGTGGAAAAGCCCATTTTTTTTTTCAGAAATCTAAAAGGAACCTCATAAAGGTTATACTTAAAGTATTAAACCCAGAGTTTAAACGGTTACCCCAAGTCCCCTGTAGAACATGAATCAGATAACAAGGGCTCTGGCCATGTGGAAGAACCAGACCTGTACATAACACCGCATTTGTACTGGTGTTCACCTTGACCCTGGCCGGGGGAGTGGTATTAGCTCCATTTTTAAAGATCAAGAAACTGAGACACCAAGAGATGAAGCGACTCACCCCAAGGCTTTTGACTCAAGTTAAAGGTTCGTTCTTTTCTCTCACAAAGGCTCTCCAAAATGTGAAAAACTTTTCTAGGCACTTAGCTTTCTAATTTCTGTTTGAAGGGTTTTTCTGACTCCTTCCAGGGCTGCCTCATCTGGTAATGGAGCTTGACAGGCAGGGTAAAATTGACACGGTTAGCACAAAGAAGGATGCCCTACTTTCACGATAACAATATTTTTAAAACTCTTGCACAGATACAGATACATGAAGGAGTTACATATTGGCATTTTAGAGGGCTGTTTGGGTCCGAGCAAGGATTAGAGAATGTCTCCTTTATATTGCAAACTTCCTGGGATGTGCTGAAAATAGGACCTGATTTGCCTGGTGTGGATTTGCCTGCAGCTCCTGGAGCCCCTGGGCTGTCCGTCCCTTCGCATGGCAGAACTGTTGTCAGAGGTTTCAGAGTCTTGGCACCTCACTGCTGGGTGATGGGTGAGCTAGGACAAAGTGACCTCAAGAGAGACAGAAGAAAAAGGAGGGAGGAGCACTTGGGGGCTATCACAACTCCTAAAACCCAGAGAAATTTGGTGAAGGGATCCAAACGATCCCATTGGGCCATAGAAACAGCCAGATTTGTCCCATTCTTTTGCCAAGTCTATCAATTTAAATTGGCTCCAGATCTCCATTTCTTTACCTAAATACTGTGGCGTGTGACTTAGTTTCTCCTATGTGGTTGTCAGGACAGTTAGCCCAGTGGGCTCATGATCAGTTAAATGAAGAAAGGCATTTGTTGGAGGGGCTGGGAGAACTCCCAGCGGCCGGTGAGGAAGGCGTCAGACACTTTGGGGCAGAGAATGCTGGGATGAGGACTTTCCTTCGGTGGGCCCAAGCTGACTTAGAAGCTGCAAAGAGGGAGCAGATCGTGCAGGATTTTGAGCTTGGAGTTTACCCATGGAATCAACCTGCTTGGGCAGTTTTAATGAGGTTTCAACTAAAATCCCTTCTCTGGGGTTTCTCTCCGGGCTGGGGCCAGAGCTGGGTGGTGCCAAGGCGTCTGGGGAGCCAGGAGCTCTGCCAACCTTGTTCGCACTGTTGGGGCAGTGCAGGCCCCCTCACACCCATTCTGGGCCTGCCATTAAAACCAAGGAAGTGCTGTTTCCCTCAGTAAGCCTTTTCCCTCCCTGGCTCAGAAGGGAGGGACACAGCCTGGGTAACACAGGTGTTCTAAATCTGGGGACCGTGAGTGGACTTTAGGGGCCCACGAACGCCCTGAAACATGGGTGTCATTTTGCGGGTAGATGTATTTTCCTGGACTAAGGATCTGTATCTCATCACATCGGATTCTCAGAGGGACCTTCCTTGATAAAACGTGAAACTCTGACAGTCCAGGGCTGGCCCTGGAAAGAACACTCCAGATCGCAGGCTACCCCAGCACTGGGATCTCAGCTACGTTGCCACCTGCTTGCAGTGATCACATTCTGCTTTTGAGGTCTCTCCCTGGGTATGATTGGCAGCACATTCTGGCCTTGGGGATCCTTTTTTTTTTGTGAAGCAATTAATTTGTATTAATGAGCCATCCATGGATTTCCCATAGTACAAATGAGAGGCTTTCCCCCCCTCACCAGGGGATGCTTTCACAATCCTGACGACCCGGCCACACACCAAACATTCTAATTCAGTTGTCCTAGGATAGAGCACCTTGGATGATTTTAAATGTGCAGCCAGGACTGATAACCTTTGAGCTTGGACAAGGGACAGAAACACAGACATGAATTAAGGAGACTAGTTTTTATCCCCTCTGCCACTTTTGATCACTGGTTGAAAGCACCTGAAATACTCTATTGTGAAGGTTTTAAAACCAGTTTCCAGCTCAGGACGAAAAGGATTCAATGCAGTGGTAACGTCTAGGGGAAGGGAAATTGTTAGCATGTGTGCAGGTATTTTCCATCTTAGATACCTGCGTACACATGTGTGCATGCATGTTAGGCATGTTTATGTACATGCATTGCATACATATATATTATCACATGTATGTGTATATAGACACAAGGTAAAGGGTACTCGTGTTCAACTTCTGGCCCCAGCTCCCTCTGCTCACACACACAGCCTTAGAAGGGCCGTGCGGGAACACAGTACATGGAGTGCAGTACCCTCCTTGCATTTCCCTCTAGGAGGTCGCACTGCGTCGACACCAGGAACGGTAAGGAGAGTGGGTACACGCGTGCGGATGGGGAGAGACCAACCTGCGGAGCTGGAGCGGGAGTGTGATGTGTTCTTTGCCCTCTCGCAGGCTTCATCCCCCCTCCCCTCATCTTCGGGGCCGGCATCGACTCCACCTGCCTGTTCTGGAGCACCTTCTGCGGGGAGCAAGGCGCCTGCGTCCTGTATGACAACGTGGCCTACAGATACTTGTACGTCAGCATCGCCATCGTGCTGAAGTCGTCCGCCTTCGTCCTCTATACGACCACATGGCAGTGCCTGAGGAAAAACTATAAACGCTACATCAAAAACCACGAAGGCGGGCTGAGCACCAGTGAGTTCTTTGCCTCTACTCTGACCCTAGACAATCTGGGGAGGGACCCTGTGCCCGCAAGCCAGACCCATAGGACAAAATTTATCTATAACCTTGAAGATCATGAGTGGTGTGAAAACATGGAGTCCGTTTTATAGTGACGAAAGGAGGTTGAACTCTGTATTAGTAATCAAAGGGTCATTTTTCCTAAAAAAAAAAAAAGTTTCCCAAAAAAAAAAAAAAACCCACAAACTCAGTACAGACACACACACACGTACACACAACACGTACACACAACACGACCTTTGTCCTCTTTCTCAAAATCAGAGCCAGACAGGATTCAGAATAAGGAGAGCATGGGACCGTGTGTTTGTCGTCCGACCTGCTGGGGCCCAGAGTCTACTCTTTGAAGGCACCTCATGCTTTTTCGGGATGCCAACAGCTGCAAGCAACAGGCACTGCCAAATTCAGGGAACAGTGGTGGCCAGCTTGGAGGATGGACGTTTCTGGATATACATACACATACAAAACAAATTTTTTTTAAAAGTCTACTAAACATCACAAGTTGACAACCAGGATAAGCACTAGGGACACACACCCCGTGCTACCTGCCTCCTCCACGTGGGGGTGGGGAGCATGCAAGTTGGAGGAGCGGGTGCTCCCTCCTCTAACTTTCGCAATATGGGTCACTGTGTAGACGACTCACCCAGTCTGCATGTGGTTCAAGGCCCCCGAGTTCTCTCAGCGATGCTAATGGGTGATCCGTGCTGGAGTCTAATTGGCACCTCTCACCAGCTCCATGTTCATGTTCAAGACTGAGGGCCCGAGGGGGGAGCCGGGCGTGGGGAGCCAGCACCTCACCTCCCCCCCCCACCGCAGCGCCCCCCAGCCCCGCAGAGTGACCTCAGGAAGCGGTGGGCCTCGCCTGGCTATGACTGACTTCGCTCAGAGCCGGTGAAACCCACACAGTCCAAGTCATTTGCTTACATTTGCCAAACATTTTACCATTTTTAAAGGAAAAAAAAAAAAACGCAATGCATATGAATTTCAAACTGTTGTATGTATAATCCTCTAATACTATTTTTAACCACTTCTAAAATCCGTGTTAACCCTTCAATCACTAACACAGTTCTCTAGGCTGAGTTTATTATGCTGGTTGCTTTTTCCTTTCCTCCTCTTTTTAATGCACCAAAAATATAATGTGATTCAAGGGATGCAATTAATCTATTGTAATTTTTTTTTTTTTATCGTTTTATCCTCATTCGGATATTCTGCGAAAACAAGAATATACCATGTGCTACGGGAAGAAAAAAAAAATTCTTGGGAAAGAGTATCTATGCAGCCTGCCTTTAAAGGAATCACATTTGAGACAACAGGGGATAATGTGATGAATTGCAAATTCGCCTTCTGGCTTTATTCCCCGTGATTCAGTGATCACTGTCATGGGAAGCCCTTTTATATTCATGCTTCACGTTCCAAGAGGCGTTCTTTTCAGCCCGTGGAGGAGACACGCTTAGATGTGGGTTGTGTGGATGGGTGCGGTGCTTCTGGGGGTAGGCAAGAGAAGGAATGGTCCCCTAGCATGAGCTCTCGAGCAGTTTGTGGGGTCTGTGATGGTGAATAGACCCACAGGGTCGCGGGAGCCACCGTGTGTCTGATGCATTAAAATGTCACTGTTTTTAGGGTCAGTCTTGAACGAAGGGGCCTCGGTCTGTGTTTTGAAAGTGGTTAACCCTCCAGCAGCTGGCAGGCAAACCTCCTTGTTTGGGAGGAGAATCGTGGGCGCAGCTTTTGGGGTCAGCAGCCTCAGCCTCATGAGGCCATTCCCCGGAAGGGGACAGGGCTTATGGGAGAGCCCGCACACACGCACGCACACATGGCCCAGTTAACGTTCCTTTCGTGTTTTCTCAGTGACCTTGGTCCAGGCCACTCATGGCCCCGAGAAAGATCTCAAGGTTTGTTCTTTGGTTTGCCTTTTCACCTGAGACACAGATGTGCAGTTCCCCCGGAGGGCAACAAAAGAATCAGGAATGAAAAGAGCGGGGAGAAGACCGGACTCTTGTGCCAAATTTCTCACACATACTGTAAATGGGGTAGTTTAAGTGACAGCCCGAAACTAGAGAAAGCCCCACCGAGCAAGGACAACTCAAAGAGAAGCTTGTGTTGTGGTGTGGGGCCACCGTGATCAGCTGCCTGGGACAGGATGCTTCCAAAACCACCCTTCTGTGTGTTTACTTGCAGTCTGTCCTTGTCCATGAACATGGGGGCACTCATCAGTATGTTAACTAGTAAGAGGCGGGATTGTTCTCCAACCAATTCATGAAATATGTATACTCTGTCGCTCCTAAGGCTTTGAAACCATTCTGTACAGGTTTGGGGTGAGTTTTGTTTTGAAATGTGTTGCTAATAGGTCACTGCCCTCTGCGTAGCTCTCCAAACTCAGTACACACACACTGAGCTCCGCTGACCTTGTGTTTTCATGGGGCCATTTGCTTTAAAAAGAAAAACGTGTTTTTTTTGAAAACTCTTTGCAGTCTGGGTTTTTTTTCCCGAAGATTTTAGGATGAATGAGATGTTGAGATGAACAAGGAAAACACCTCCAGGGCACAGCTTTGTCCACAACTGGATGTGAACTTAAAGTCCCCCATTGCAAGACGGCTGCAAAGCGCAGTGTGTCACCTTTTAGGGTTTTAATGTCTCTCCTCCTGCAGAACAGAAAACCTAGTCTGGTGTTAGGTTTCCTTTTGTGCTACAAAGAACCATTGTACATAAGCGTTAGATCCAGCTCCTTGGTTATTTGTTTCATGTTGAGTGGTATTTTGAATGAAAAGATTTCCTGGCGAGAGCTCCACTGGACTTAGAGAAAACAAAAATGTAAGGGATAGAATAAACCTAGAAGGTGAACACTAAGCTTCTCTCTCTCTCTCCTGCCCCAAACTCCTCTGCCATCTTGGTCAAACGTGCCCAGAGATGGATGAAAAAAATCTCTCTTTGCTGCAACTTTTAACAGATTTTTGTAATCCCTACATGTAGACCAAGAAGTTTTTTGACCGGTATTATTCCTACATGTGAAGTAAACACATTTTGTAAAAGTAGATGTCTGTTTGGGAGGTGGAGTTTGGTGTGTGCTGTCAGGGAAGACCAGCAGCCTTGCCCCCTCCTTCCCGCCTCCACAGAGGAGGGCTGGGAAGCGTCAAGGCACCCTGGGGACATCACCACTCCAGACGGCCACAGCATGTGGGCTTTACTCACAGCTAATGAAGGAGCAAGAGAGGCCTCCTCTCCCGGTGCCCCCCTAAGGAGTTTGCTAGTAGTGCTTAAGCAGGCAAAATAACAAGGGGAAGCCAAGAGCTCCTAAGGAGTCCTTTGACAGACTTGTTAATGTCTTCCAAGCAGGAAGGAATGTGCTTCTCCATAAAAATCACTTCTTTCTCACCACCTTAAGTAGAATAGCTTTCTCTAGAGATTTTTTTTTTTAATTAGGCCTATACATTTTAAAGTGGTGTCTCTACATTTAAATCCCTGATTTAATCCACTTCCCTGTCTTCAGGGATGACCTAGAGCTTGCCCTCACTCAGGCATGGCAAGATTTCCCATCCCTTTCCCATGGAAAGCCGCTGCAGCACGAGGCTTTCTTCCCAGCTAATGAAGGAACAAGAGAGGTCCTCTAAGGTGACCTGCAGAAACATTCCATATGGGGGCAACCAGCCAGCCAGTCCTTGGGAATGACCACCCTACCACCCCAGAGGCATTTTCTCAGGAAAAAGTTTCCACCATGGTTGCTAATGGATTATCTTCTGCACTTCTAGAGCAGGCCATTCATTGAGGAACATAGGAAATGGAGAAAAAAAAAATTATATATATACACACACACACTCACAGAGAAACCCTCTGAGGAGAAGCAGTTGTTGGCTTCCATGAGCCTGCGAGGCTGGTTTTCTTGCTGCCTGCTCTTCAGGTCCTCACAAGTGTGATCTCTTCTCCACCCCGTCAGGCCTGCCAGACCTGTTACTGTAAGCGCTTCTCAGCGGCATTAAGCAATAAAGGTCACTATGGAGAAATCATACAGTCGAACAAAGGAGAAGGGAGACATTCTGTTACAGTTTGGCAGAGTTCCACTCCAGCGTTGTTTGTGTATTCGGTGTGGTTTGTTTTAGATGAAGGGAGAAAACCAGGCCAGCAGTTTTTCAGCCCCGCAGAGAATATGTGCTGTCTTGTGCTATTCTTCTTTGCCCATTTTGATGGCTCAGGAGAAAGTTCCAGACACACCGTAGGGGCTTGGTGGCTGAGCTCATGCCACTGCCCTCTCCCTCAGCCTCCCCTCAACCATGAGCTGTGTTTCCCTTTAAGTTAGAATCCAGGCCAAATACTTAAGAGGTGCCATGTTTTCCAAGAGAAGGATTAGTGTGGAACATAAACACCGTCCTTATCTTCCTCCCTCTGCCCTTCCTCGTTCGTTATACCATTGCTTCCAACTCAGTCCGCATTGTTGAGTTCTGGACAGGTGCAAAGACCTAATCTCTTCAAGCAACTGGCCCTAAATGATAGCTTTCAGACCCAGCCCCCCAGGGGGATTATGATTGCTCACAAATACATTTGTAAAACTGAAGGACCCCTAACTGGTTGAATATGCAAGAAGATATTTTTGTTCAGATGCCTCTTACAGGGGCCTGTTGCCCAGGGTAACACGTGGAAACTACCCTGCCTGCCCACAGCCACCCACCCATGCCTCCCCTTTCTCACATTTTGTAGGTGATCTCAGAGTGCTTGGCCATTGTGGCAGAAAGGACAGGAGTTAAAAGGTCTAAAATGGGAAATTCAGAAAACCAGAGTCTCCTGTACCTCAGAGATGGCCCTGGAGACAGGGACAGAACTCCTGCCTCTCAGAGAGCATCCACATGGTAGTATGCCTTCCCTTTGCAGGGTTAGTGTCATCCAGGGATATATCGTATGAGCTTGATAATTTCTAAACATGTATTCATTCATTCCTTTATTAAGATTCTGGCAGTATGCCAGGCCCCAAACCAGCTACAAAGACGAAAAAGACAGGGTTCCATCCTCCAAGAGCTCACAGTTCCATGAGCCAGACAGACCTGAACACAAACAAAAGCAATAGAATAATAACACTAAGAGCCCGGCTCTGACTGGGCCCGAGGAGGGCTGATTCGTGGTGGTGGGAAGCTCATCCTCCTGGCATCGAGAATCAGAAAGGTTTCAGAGAGAGGCGTGGTCTAAAACCAAGAACTAGAGAGCAGTGGGTGTCGGCCAGAGAGATGGGGCAGGAGGTCACCTCTCCTGAGAGGACCGCCAGAACAAGTTGACAGACTTTCTGTAAAGGGCTAGGTTTTTTAAGGCTTTGAGAGTCATACGCTGTCTGTCACCACCACTCAATTCTGTTGTAGCATGAGAGCAGCTCACGTGTAAACAAATGCACAGGCTGTGTTCCAATAAAGCTTTATTTACAAAGACAGTGGCCGAGGGCAGTAGTGTGCTGAGGTCTGAAGCAGCATAGCATGTTTGGGGGGGTGCCCTAGCAGCTGAAGCTGCTCTAGCGAGGGCCAAGTCATGTGTTGGAGGGGTCCTGCAGCAAGGTGTCCATCAGCCCTGACGTTACTGCCCACAGGAGTCTAATGCAGGTATCCCATTTTCCAAGAATGAGGTGAGTACCCCATGACTGGCAGGGTTTACAATGAAGGCAACATCATCTTTCTCTCTATGGACTGAGGGGAATTTGAGCTACAGGATCTGATCGCCAGTCTCTTCCAGCTCTGATACGCCACAGTTCTACCACAGTAATTGTCCTGTTTTCTTATGTGATGAAATGGGGATGGGAGGAGGAAATGTGTTAGTGAGTTAATGAGTTAAAAAAAAAAAAAAGTGAATCCAAATAGTATTTCACATCCATTCCCACCAACATAAAACGTTGGCACTATGAAGCTAACAGATACACCAGGTGGAATAATTGGTAAACACTAATAATAACTAATAATAATAGTAGCTAACATTTACCTAGCACTTACTGTGAATCAGCTTCTTATACGTATTAGCTCATTTAATCTCAACAATAGCCCTGTGAGGCAGGAACTGTTACTAGCAGCAGTGGACAGGAGAGGAAAAGGAGGCAGGGAAGGCTTCCAGAATCGGTTCAAGCCACGAAGCAGAGCTGGGATTGAAACCCAGGTCTGTGAATCCAAAGCCCGTGATCTTAGCTTTTATGGGTACCCCCTGCCTACTGAGCAAGACGTGAGACACTCCTCTCTACCCATAGGGACTGCCTCATCAGGAAGACTCTGGCTCAAATGGACTGTGTGTCCTACCCACTCTCACGTGCCCCCTAATATAACCACCAGGGACACCACGACAGCTGTCTTCTGGAGACTTCTGTTCTTCCTGGGTTGTTCGTGGTCTTAACCACAGAGCCCAATGATCAATTTCTATGGGGTATTCTACCAGAAACAGGTAACAGGAAACAGGAGACTCCTCCACTCTAATACATTCTGACACACCAGGGAGGCATTCCTCCGTGCTGGTCATCGGCTCCAGTGGGGACACCCCAGACACCTCTCCCACCAGGCACCGCCATGGTCCTCAGCATCAACCTCAGGATTTTGGCTCTGGCCCAGGGCCTTCAGACACACCAACACTGGTTGCCAGTTGGATAGGTCTTACTCTATTATCAGATACTAGGCTTTTAGGAACAGACTTTCTAGATGTTTCTATTTTTGCATTGACTCAGGCCAACAATCAGTAGTTGATGATTAGCATAAATTCTGAATATTTTTCCATAAGGCAAAGTGATTGTATTCTGCTATGAGCAAATGGAATGGTAAATTTTCTGGAGGTTTAACATTCTATAGGTTGACATCTTGCCATTAAATCCCCCAAAATAATGTTTTTCTTAAATTCGTGCTAACTTAATAGAAGAGAGCTCTCATGGTATTATGTTTGTCAAAACTGTTCAATTTTATAATCTAAGGACATAAGATGAATCAGAAGTATGCAATATAGGAAGTTGCATTACAGAAGGAACCCAACTAACACATAGATTCGTCCAGCACCTCAAAGGAGGAAGGGGCTGGGGAGCTCCCATGTAAGAGTCTGCTACCCACGTGCCAGGTGTCATAAGGCATGGTCCCAGGTAATGCACCCAGCAGCTTTACACCAGGTAAAGGGGAATCTAATTTTTTTCCACTTTTACAGATCAGGAAACGAAGGTTCAATAAACCCAAGGCTCCCAAGGTCACACAGCTAGTTAGAAAGGCCACCAGGAGCCAATGCCAGGTCTGTCTGACTCCTGAACCAGTGCTCTTTCTACTATACCACATCACCACCAACGCAAGAACCGAGATCTGCCTCTTCGGAAGCTCTGATGAGGCCAGCGGGGCATCTACTCTTGGGAAAACCCCCCACAGAAATCTATATTTCATAGAGAAATGAGCCAAGAGCCGGAAGTGAGACCTCTGCAAAATGTTGCCTACAGGCACGGGAATCTAAAATGAAAAAAAAACTTTTTTACCTTAATAA